GGGGGGGGGGGAGCCTGAGATACATGTATCGGGGGGGGACAGCAGGGGGGAACACCAATGAAGCGCAACAGTTTAACATAACTAACTCAAAGACCTGTGGGAGCAAGACATTTTCTCTCTCTTACAGAGAAGTATCTTGTCTCCAGGGGAAAGACAGGATCTCGGGCTTGGTGGGCTCCTCCGCACCCACAACTCCCTCTCCTTTACTTATTAAAAAGGCATCTCCTAGAATTAGCTAATAGCATCTTAAAACATGAAAATATACTTAGGAAGATAATAACAATTAGGAAAACCCAAAAAATGTTTTTGAGGAGGGAGGCAACCCATCTCTTGAGGCCCCAGCTCACAAAAAGGTCCTCAAGCCACTGGGACTCCTTTACAGTCTGGAGTTCTTGGACTGCATGTTGGAGTCTCTGGATGCGGGTGTGGATGCCTTCACTGGGGCTGGAGAGGTTAAAGCAGCACAAACTGCCCAATTCCTCACAGCCGTGTTCATGGGCCAGGAGTAGGAAGTCTATGGCAGCTCGGTTTTGTAGCGTGGCGTGCCTAACAGTCTCTTCATCTGTCAGGAGGTCACTCAGGACAGAGGAGGTCCGGTTGGCCTGCTTACCAAGCCAACAATCCAGGTGAGAAGGCTCACTAAGGGCTTTAGCAGCAGCTGTCCAAGGCAAAAATGCTGACATCACCACCCTCTTTGTGTAGGACCAATCTTTAATTTGGCTATCACAATTTCCAGCTAATTGGCTGAGATCTTTCTTTGGCAGGCCAATTCATTCTTTTTCAGCCAAACATGTATTAGAATTGAATTTGGAGTGAGGATGGTAAGCTGTCCAAGTGTGCAAGGATCTCCCTGGAGTGGGGAAGGGATTCCTGCCCACACTCTATCCCCACAGATGAAGAACACTCCCCAGGGCAGCACTCTGGGATAGTGAGAGGAGGTGGATCGTGTGCTGCTGGTGTAATTGCACCATTTGGACTGATTGTAAATTTTACTGTTGGGAGTCACATTTTTCCTTGATTTAATTGCCCTTTGGTATTTTGAGGCAGGCCATGCATTGGCTACTGGGTGATAATTAAAATTTATGCAATAGGTAGCTTTGGAGGATCCCAAAAGCTCTAATTCCTGGGGTTCCTCTGGTGCATGGGGCAAGATCTTTGTCCACTCATCCCAAATGTCTACCGGGTTGGGTTCTTTCCCTGTGAAAGGATATTCATGGGGCTTTAAAGGAATCCCTACCAGGCAGGATGACAGAGGGTTGGTGGTGCTGCCCATGGACAAGCACCTGTTCTTGTTGGAGCGTCTTTGCGAGGGTGATCCACACGTTCTCCTGGGGCTGTGCTACTAGCCAGGCCTCCACAGCTGATGTTTTCAGGAGCATCCAGATGGTCAGGAACATCAGGAACCCAAGGATGGTTTTGCTCTCCATTTTCTATAACAGGACATAACAGATTAGCTCTGATTTTTGGAGGGGGCATTATTTCCTTTTTCCCATTCCTCACCTGTCTCCCCCCTCTTTAAAAAAAAAACAATTATAAGCAGGGTTATTCTGTGTATTGGGGACACGTGACCTGACACTAGCAGCAGCACAGAGGTGCATTTTGGTGTAAACTGGCAATTTGAGCTAGGCAACGAGGGCAAGAAGGGGAAGGGAGAGAGGGAAAAGGGAGGGGGAGGGAGTTAAGAAGACTTGTGTAATGTCACAGTGTCAGGCGTGACATTGGCTGTTGTCTTGTTGTGGCCCTGGTAGCAGGATGGTTTGGCCTCTGTCTGGGTGTTGGTCTGGTGGCAGGTCAATATGGTGGACTCCAATGACTTCTCCGTTTCCAGGCTGCAGTGGACTGCTGTTTTTCTGGACCTGTGTGGGTCTCAGGAGACTTTGAAAGTTCTGAGTCTGGTGCAGGGTTTGTAGGGCCTAAATAAGGTTTTACATTTTTCCCTGGGAGCCATTGAGGTCCTGATGGTGTGGACACACATGCATACCCTCTCCCCCAGGTAATCAATGGGAAAGGTCCTG